GTAAAGAGTAAATGGGTCAGTATTTGTCAAGAGCATGGTACAAAGAAAGTACCTAGTAATTAGTAGTTATTATTATTATATTTATAGATCTGAATAGAATATACAAAATTCAAAGTAAGGTGTAGGAGATTGTATTTTAAATTTTGGCCTGCTTATGTTAAATTCCTATATGTTATACATAACATAACCAGGTCAGTATTTAAAATACAATCTCCCACACCTTGCTTTGAATTTTGTATATTCTATTCAGATCTACAAATATCATAATAATAGCTAATGATTAGTAGGTACTTTTTTTTTAGCTATGAACATTCCATGTGCCAATTGTAATGAAAGAGGAAGTAGAGGAAGTAGAAGCTGAATTTAAGGCATTGGCAAACAAAGGACCCAGGAATCGATGGGATACCAATTGACTTGTTTCAATTAACAAATGCAGCCTTGGATGCACTCAGCAGCCTATGCGAGGAAATTTGGAGGATGGCTATCTGGCCAGTGGATTGGAAGAGGTCCATATTTTTTCCTATTTCCAAGAAGGATGATCCAGCTGAATATGGAAATTTTCAAACATTATCATTGATTTCACATGCTAGGAAAATGCTGAAGATCATTAAAAAAATGGCTGGAACAAGGGAATTGCCAAAAGTTCAATCAGGATTTAGAAGAGGCCATGACACCAGGGATATCGTTTCTGATATCAGATGGATCCTGGCTGGAAGTTAGGAATACCAGAAGAATGCCTATTTGTGCTTTATTGACTATGCAAAGGCATTTGACTGTGTGGATCACGACAAGTTTTGGCTGACATGGGAAGAATGGGAGTCCCAGAGCACTTGATTGTGCTCATGAGGAATCTATACCTGGACCAAGAGGCTGTTGTGCGAACAGAGCAGGGGAGCACTGCATGGTTTGGAATTGGGAAAGGAGTGCGTCAGGGATGTATTCTATCCCCATATCTGTTCAACCTATTTGCTGAGCAAATTATTTGAGAAGCTGGACTCTATGAAGAGGAATGTGCAATCAGGATTGGAGGGAGACTAATTAATAACCTGCATTATGCAGATAACACAACTTTACTTGCTGAAAGTGAGGAGGATTTGAAGCACTTGTTGCAGAAGATCAAGGAATGCAGCCTTCAGTATGGACTGCATCTCAATATCAAGAAAACAAAGGAGATTGAAACTGTCAATAGCTTCATATTGCTTGGATCCAAGATTAACACTCTTGGTACGAACAGTCAGGGAATAAGAAGATACATTACAATGGGGAAATCTGCAGGTAGGGACCTTTCCAAATTATTGAGAAACAGTGATGCCAGTTTGAGGACTAAGGTGTGTCTGATTCAGGCCATGGCCTTTCCCATTAATAGCTATACATCCAAGACCTGGATAATGAATAAGGCTTACTGAAAAAGAATTGATGCCTTTGAGCTGTGGTGTTGAAGAAGAACACTAAACATTGCATGGAAGGCCAAAAAAAATGTCTTGGAGAAGGTGCAGCTGAAGTACCCTTTGGAGGCAAGAATGATGAGGTTTTACCTCACATACTTAGAACATATTGCTAGGATGTGCTATTCCTTGGAGAGAGACATGATGTTGGGAAGGGTAGAGGGTCGGAGAAGGACAGGAAGACCCTCAGCCAGTTGGATTGACTGGGTGCCTGCTGCAATGGGCTCTTGTGTGTCAGGATGTGTAAGGATGGCACAGGATAGGATAGAGTTCTGACTAGACTCGATGGCACCCACCAACAACAACAACATATAGGAACTGATGCGGCTAAGGCAAGAAGAAAGGAATGAAAGAATGGATAAGAAAACCAAGGAATAAAATGAAAAAGAAGCAAGGAATAAGAAAATGAAAAGAAATGTACATTTCTTTATTACTTTGGAATTATGACATACAGGAATATGTAGAAAGAAATACAATTAAGAGTATAAAAATATTTATTCTTATTAGTATTTCATAATATTAATCTTATTAATATTATATTAATATCTCTGTAATATTTTAATTTATACAAAAGAATATATGCTAAGATGACACTTACTAAGCCTTTATCCCTCCTTAAATATAAACCAAAGAAAATTTTCAAAGATGCTTTTTTAAAGATAAAAGAATAAGTATTTTATCTGATTTGAGGGTACACACACAAAAAATAATAAAATAATAAAAAAGAATTAAGTATTTTAAACACCAGTCGTCATCTATTCTAATGGGAAAATACTGGAGGCAGGGCTGCTTCTAAGTTTGTTTTCTGGAATACTCATTTCACAAGTGGTAAAAAAACCCCAACAATGTCACAATGCAATAATTGGAAGCTATTGTTCTATTTACCATACATAATCATAAAGATATTAGCATGGTAAAGGTGATATCTTTGAGGTTTCAGGTAAAATGTCACTTTTTAAGCAGAAGTTTCTCTGGCCACTTTAAATCTCCTTTCCATTTTCTAATACGTCCTTTGTTGTTGTGTTCCCTCGACTACGACTCAGAGCAACCCTATGAACAGTGGATGTCATTCCTGCCCTATCCTGTGCCTCATTATCTTTTCTATCCTTGAGCCATTTGTTCCAGTCAGTGTGTCTGTCTGTATTGTTGAGGGTCTTCCTCTCTTTTGCTAACCCTTCTTCCTTTCCAAGCATGATGTCTTTTTCAAAAGACTAGCCCTCCAAAAAACATGGCCAAAGTATGGAGATAAAATGTCTCCATCCTTACCTCCAAAGGACACCCTGGCTACACTTTCTCCAAGACATACTTGTTTGTTCTTTTGGTTGTCCAGGGATACTCAGTCATCTTCTCCAGCACAGCTGTCACCCTTATTCACTGAAACATTCAGATGGACAGCAAGTGATTGAGAAGACTATGGCTCAGATCAGGTGCTCCTTAGTCTTTAGATTGCTGTTGTTGCTCATTCCAGTGCCATACATCTTTTGATTTCGTGAATGCTGGTACCAAGGGTGTTGATTGTGGATCCAAGGAAGAGGAAATCAGTAACAATTTCAATCTTTTCTCCATCTTTCATGATCAGCCCAGTGGTGAGAATTTTTGTCTTTTTGATTTTGAGATGTAATCAATATTGGAGGCTGTAGTTTTTTATCTTTTGCAGCAAGAGTTTCAATTCCATCTCACTTTCAGCAAGCAAGGTTGTGTTAGCTGCATAATACAGAGTATTGATGAGTCTTCCTCTGATGCTGATGTTACATTTTCCTAGTTGCTTAAGTTGTTGTTAGATGCCGTGGAGTTGGTTTAGACTCTTACAATCCCAAGGTACAAAAGAAAGAAATACTGCTTGGACCTGTGCCATGCTCATAGTCATTGCTACATTTGAGCGCATTGTTGCTGCCACTCTTAATCAATCTGTATAAGGAGCAGTGGTAACATGAGGAAGGCCGAGTCTGACTTCTACTCACTTCATAAAGGGGAATTGTCCCCATCAATAACATCCATAGTACCAAACAAATGCCACCCTCCATGCTTCTACTATTTCTATGAATCTTTGGGTCAAATGTTCATTGCAAATTGGATCACAGACTTATAATTGTGGGATTTGTTAGGGAAATAGGTTGGGGTGGGGAAAGGCAAACAATATCATACTGTGCAAGTCCAGGTTTAGTCCAGCTGTCCCAAGCTACATTAACATCATGACACACGTTCTCAATTAGTGAACATACAGGTTCAGTTCAATAGCACAAATGTACCTTTGGTTTCCTCAGTCATCCAGCAAAGTTTATCTCAGAGTCAGCCAGCTAGCTTTTCGTTCAATCATTGAGAAATAAAAGCTTTAGCTGGGGCTCCATTTTCAGGGTTCCTCTGGTTATAACTTGCCACAGTTTCTTCACAACAGTGTCACAGTCTCTTCACGCTGTCTCTGTCACCATTTTCACAGGGTGGAAATTGCTCCCTTATATTGGTCCCGTAGCTATTGATGATTTGCAAGACCATATATATGTCTATAGTTAAGGTAGCTAAAGCCTAGGTCCTCAAGGGGGGCTAATGCAATGGATAGGAAAGACAATTTTAAAAATGGTTTACTGCCACCACACCCCCTTTTGCAGGATTCTCCTCTTTTTCACCAAGCCTCTAATTTAACAAGCATGATGTAGCCATTAATTTTATCCATTCATTATGAGAATCTCATTAAAATTCAGTGACATCATCTTGAGAATTTTCTTCTTCCATATTGTGTTGTAAAGACCTTAGTTCCAGTGATTGAATCCATTTTTCTCACTAAATGTTATCTTCTTTGACAATTTTTAAAGACATTTGTCCTTAAAAAAAAATCAATGTCTTCACACATTGCAGTTGAGTCATGATTTTGTAATCTCCGTGTGGATTACTTGTGTGCAGGTCTTGGCTATGGAATGCTCTGCAAGTATGAAAATACTTGCAAAAAAGGAGGCAGCTATTCTTGCATCCCACCCTTCCCAGGAGTGTTTCGTGAACAATGGAACACATTTTCATGGAGGCTTTCACATTTATTTCTCTGACGGACTGAGCTTGACATTGGCAAGACAGGGCTGTGATTGCTATCAGTGTTCACAGACCCCTTTTCTTTTTTCCTGGATAAGTCTCTACAGCAGTGAGAGTGGCCAAAGAGCTAGCTTATAGCTTATCTTTTTTAGGGCTTTATGTTAAGATCTGGTTAAGCCTGTGGGCTTTTTAATTTTTTTAAAAAAAATTTTGTGAATGGGTAGAGATTTTAGAAGAGATTTTTAGAATTGAAAGAATTATCTCTCCCTCCTCCTCTACTTCTTATAATTACAAAATAACTGTGGTAAGCCTTTATACTTGAACAGAACTCTGGAATAGATAAAGTATATGCTTGTCCTTAATCAGCTGGGCTGTATGTCTATGTTATACTGCACTGACTGTAGCCACAACCAGATTTCCTGATTGCTGGTATCTCTACCAACCATTCTTTAATACGTATCTCCAGGTTTGCTCCAAATTAATAACCACAGACAATTTAACCATATTCATGTATCCTTCTTATTTCCCCTCCAGGTTCTCATGAGCATGGAAGACATAAAAGTCCGTGAAATGCAGATTTTTGACTACAGGAAAAAAATAGCTGAATCAGAGACGAAATTAAAGCAGCAGCAGAACTTATATGAAGCTGTGAGGTCAGACAGGAACCTGTATAGCAAAAATCTGGTTGAGGCTCAGGTAAAGCATTTGTTGGTGCCTTTACATTTTCTTGCCTTTTTAAAAATTTTTTTAAAATTTTTTTTATTATTTTCTTGCTTTTTGTGTACACTGCTTGTGTTGTCCTAATGGCAGAATAGAATACATCAAGAAGGACATATCATGTACTTCACCTGAAGGAGAAGACTGATTTATGCAAAACTGTCAGGTTGTTCAAAATGGAGGTGACACAGCTGGATGAGATGGTGGTGATCCTGGTCCTGTGTGTAATTATTATGTAGAATTATCACTCGCAGCTTTCTAACTTTTAGGATTGCTAAGAGCTACCATCAGTCAGAGAACAGCCACAGCTGCTTGTAATTGAATTTCAGAGCTTTACTTCACAATCTTTTAGTTCTGTTTGTCGTGTTCTTCTAATGCTCACTCTGAACAAGGAGGAATAAAGTACACAAATGTGTGTGTGTGTGTGTGAGAGAGAGAGAGAGAGAGAGTGAGCGAGAGAGAGAGAGAGAGAGTGAGCGAGAGAGAGAGATGCTATGTATGTATGTTGTTGCTGTTGGGTGCCGTTGACTACGATTCATGTTGTTGTTGTTTACCATCACGTTGGAACCAACTCATTGCTGACCCTCTGGATTGACCATCCTTCTGCAGAGCAGCTGGTGGAATTGAACCAAGCACCTTCAGGACTGCAATGTGGCTTCTTGCCACTAGGCCACCAATGCTCAACAGATCTGAACCTTTCCCTGTCGTACACTATCCTCAGAATCTCTGTCATGTTCAAGCCTTAATGGTAGTCTTAGCATTTATCTAGTGAGAAAATTTTGTAAGTTGATAGCCTTCTGATATTGATAGGTACTAGACATAAAATAGTAGTCTGGTTTTTATTGGTCAAGAGATCATTTTGAAAGGGCCTCTCTTCAAGGATGAAAATGCTTGAATATGTATGGAACTGCCACAGGGATGGTGATTTCTATTTACCTCACTTTCAAATATTTCTCTTGTTATATTTTTTTTTAGGATGAAATAACAGAAATGAAGAGGAAATTGAAGATTATGACCCATCAAGTAGATCAGTTGAAAGAAGAAATATCAACCAAAGAGTCAGCGCTGGTGAAGCTACATCTGGAACAGCAGCGAATAGAAAAGGAGAAGGAGACATTAAAGGTACAGGCCTTAGACTAACCGTGATTCACTCAGGTTTTCTCTGTTTAACCCGCCTGAAGCCGACCGGTCTCCCTAGGAGCAGCAAAGGGCAGGGAGAACACTCAAAGCCGCCCATGGCCACTACTGATGGTTGCCAAAGCCAGCCCATGCAGGGCCTCAAGAAGATGAGCTTACCCTCTCTAGTCAAGCCTCTATCACTAGTGCTCTCGACAGGATGGACAAAGTAAAGAGAAGAGAAGGCAGTGGAAAGGCACAGATGCCTTAGTTTAGCTATGCTAGCTGTCATTAAATCAGTAAAGAGTCGTAGCAGGTTGGCAGTGTCAATGCTGTCTTTGAGCTGGTAGGTTTGCTGAAAATCTCTGTATTCCCAATCCAAGTCTATACCTCCTCCTTCCCGACTGGACTTTCTGTAAGGTGATGCTGACAAGATGCATTGGTCCTCTGCTCGTAGGCATTGTTTTCTTGGTGTACACATGGCTTTTCTGTCTGCACTATCATCATGATGGGTGTCCATCAGATTCTTGTCCTCACTGTATTTGCCCTCAACCAGGTTCATGGAAAGATGGGTTGTCTCATCTCATTTTGATTTCCACACCTTGGAAATCCAATAGAGGGTCGCTATGAGTTGGAATTGAGGTACTGTGCATAGGTGTGTTGGAGATAGTAAGACTGGCTCAGGATAGGGCAGGTTTCAAGAGCTGCTATATATAGGGTCTTGAGTTGCAGGCAACTCAATGGCACAAAAACACAACATGAGCTGTAACAGACTTGATAACACTGTAAAGACTTTACAGCTATCCTCTTGGATCGCCTTGTTACGCTACTAAATTTGAACCCTCTTTGTGTACTAACATAGAGACTCATTCCATGAACACGTCACCAAATGTTTACATAATTTCAAAACCTCCAACCAAGTATATTTTTACTAAACCCCTCATCACTATGGAGTCCTGATGACACAGTGGCTTAAGCATTGGACCACTAATCAAAAGGTAAGTGGATTGAACTCGCTGGCAATGACACAGGGGAAGGCTGAGGCAGTCTGCTACCAGCCTTGGAAGGAGTTCTACTCTGTCCTGTTATGTTACTATAAGATAGAATGGACTCGGTGGCAATGTTTGTTTTTTTAAATATCACTAACTCCAGTGTATTCATCATTTCACATCAGTCCAGTAAATTTTCCTTATAGTCCACATCACCAAAGAGTTTAAAGAGGAATACCACCCTTATTTTGAATGTTTTATATATGTGCAGAATACTCATTGATACTTGTGAGTCACTTGCAGGAGATATAGACAACTGAGTAGAGCTTTGCTAATGGTTTTGAAATGAAGGTTCCCTCTTAATAATGTGTATTGAACAGACCCAGTGCCGTATTCAAGGCCACCACCTGCCTCGGGGGAGAAGGATGCAAAATCTCCTCCCATGCAATTAATTGCCTCTGAAAACCTGCCAGAGGGTCAGCTATGGGTGGGTTCCAACTGTATGGTATATAACAACAACAACAACAACAACAAGATATTGTACACTGATATATGCACTGCAATGGAATAATGGGTTTTGTCGATTTAAGTATAGGTTTTCATGAAAGTAGAACTATTGTTTAAATTAACTTAAGACACATTTTGTTTCAAGAAAATGAAAATGGGAAAAGAGTGTCTTTAGGTAAAAATTTGGCAGTTGATATATTTGCCTCTCTGACTTTTATCTCCCTGCTCTGATAGAAAAAGAGTAGAAAATGCAGAATGGAATTATGTTTACATGTGAAGAAATATACATGTGTTTTCCAATATTTTGAAATGTCCTGTGTCTTTCAAATTCTTACACTCTTTATTGAAAAAACATAGTTTTAGTAAAGGCAGTTTGTTTCATCTGGTATCTGTAGTGGAATGAGGATTTATTTATCTCTGAAGGAACCAAAAGAACCTTATGATAAACATGGCTTTACTCATGTACCTTATGGACCCAAGTTAGCAAGACTTCAGTGTCATCTCATTTGGGGAATTTCTAGAACGTCAATTCTTTCCTTCTTAGAGAATGACAATGATCCTGATCGTTCACTTTCCCAAATAATCCTGTATTAAAAAGATCTATTATTGCTTCATAATAGGGTATAAAGTGGAATGAACTGTCTCCCATAAAATACTGATTTAGAACAAGTAATGTCCTATGCAAAGATAAATTATTTTTAATTTCTTAGAGTTTGGCTTAGGTTAATATTTATTTTAATTTGGCCATCTTACATGAAAATTCCTTTAGACTGATGACTCTAAATCATCAGAGATCTACATATTTAACCTCAGAGAACAAAGTGATTAAAAATAAAGGGGCCATTGGGTCCAGTTATTTGGTCCTGGGTCAGCAGGGTGGACATAAAGGATGATTAAAGAACTTTTTGGAACATCGGCTCCACATGGAAAAGCTGAGGTCTCAATAGCATTGGGTCACTGATTATGGAAAGGTAGTGTAGTTGCTTTGGACTTACTGTGAAAGTAGGATGCCTTTTCTCTTAGCAAGAGAATGAGGAACAGAGAAAAGATACCGGCTTGATTTATTATCTGAGGTTACCCAAGAGTGACTTGCAGAGGTGATTCGACTGGATAATTTTGGCCTATCATTAAGCCTGTTTGACATCCTTTACAGAAATATGACAGCTCAAACGTCAAGTTTGAGCCTCTTGACTTTTTTAGGCTAAGAATTTGAACCATACTTACACACAGGTCTCTAGATTCATGCATGTAGAGTTTGCAAACCAAAACCTTGGGGGAAAGGGCAGATTTCCTAGTAACTTTGTTACCAGAAAAGTTGAGCTTATTATTGTGAGTTCTCCAAAGTTAGATGGGTGCAGAGTCCCTCCTGGAAGGGTCAGCCCCAGCCTGCTTGGTGGACCGTGATATGTCTTTTGAGAGGACAACCCCATTTACTCCCTTTTAAAGCCAACACTTGAACTATTTTCCCCAGTAGGTTATCCCCATCCTCATTAATCCCCCTAACACAGAAAAACCTTGCTTCTTCCATATTTCCTGTCCTTTTTTCAGTCCCTCCCAAGCCCTATTGACTCTTTAGAATTCTAGACATTGTCAGTGAATTATAGTTTTGACAGAATGTCAATAGATCTCTGTAGAAGTCGCTGTGACTTGATTCATCTATCCATTCTGGCCCAGTACTGTTTCATCAGCAGTGAAAGAACCATCCGCTTGGAGTGTGTGCCTTCCAGTCCTAACAAGCCCCGATTCTGTCTCGTCACCTCCCAATCATGCCACATCAGCCTGACAGCACTTTGATTCAGTGGTGAATAATTCAGCAGCAAATTCTCTGTGTCCAGAGTTCAACATCACATTAGCTGTGACTTTAGGGGACCACATATACTTTTACTTAGTGGACTCTGTAGAACAACATGACTGGGGAGCTCTTGCAGAAAGGGAACGAGGAAGCCTAATTATTTTCGTGGCTGGAAGACTTCAGTTGGTCTTACTTGTTTAGCTTGATATAAACAGATGGTTTCAGTGAAACCCCGTGAGTTTTAGGATCATGAATGAAGAATGGAACTCCCATAAGTGTGGTTCTTAAGATATAATTTATGCCCGTGGCCAAATTAGATGATGCATAGTCCATAAACACCTACCATAAATGGCATAATTGGGGAGGGAGTGACTAACGAGTGTGTAATGCCGTCTTATTACAACGCCACACCACTAGTGATGCTTTGATAGATGCTGAACCGCTCAGCTCCCACCTAGAACATGACTTGATGGACTTCTGGGTGCACAGCGGTTGTTACCATCTTCCCTAGGAAAGACGGCTCAGATTTATGGCTGCTAAATGCATTAGACCCACAGTATTTTGTTGATGTTAACATTTGCTGCCAACATCTAATGCCACATCTTGTTTACAGCCCATAAATTTATGACATAAGGAGACCATTCAGAATTTTGATATATTATGGAAAAAACCCCAGCATTGCCAAATGCACGGCTGGTTTTACATTCCAGACAGATACTTTTCCACACCGTTGATTGCATTTTAATATAACCGGGGTTTCATTTTGTTCTGCTGATGGATTCTGATCAGCTCCTGGCACTTAGGAACAGAGAAGTGAATGTTACACATCTGGGAGAATAAAAGTTTTATTAAAGAAAGCAGGAGCCAAACAGGTATTTTATTGCTGTCTTCACTGTCATCTTAAATGATTAGAGGAACAGAAAGGCTGGTTCTTCATTCTCTTTCTTAACAGTCAGTCCCCTAAAGTGGTAAATGTTAGGCCGAATCTTTTCTCAGTAAGTGTTTCCTTTTGCTTATCCTTCAACCAGAACATATTTCATGAATGAACAAACAAAATATCATTAAGAAACCTTGGCTTTATGGTAGCTGCTTGCATTTTGTTTGTAAAATTACATGTCTGTTACCAAGTGTATGGACCTATTTTTATTTTCTTCGGCCTCAATTTGAACTTGCATATGAGTAACTGATGATCTGACCCACAGTCTGCCCCTGGCCTAGTTTTGACTACTGATATTGAGCTTCTACAATGATTTTCCACAGTTTGATTCCTATGCAGCCCAGCAGGTGAGAGCCATGTGTCAAGTCATTGTTTGTATCTTTTTAAAAAGGTGTTTGTGATGAATAAATCTTCCTTGGGGAAGGACATGATGCTGGGAAGGTGGAGGATTGGTGAAGGAGAGGAAGATCCTCAACCAGCTGGACTGACACAGTGACCGCTGCAGTGGGCTCTTGTGTGTCAGGAGGTGTAAGAAGGGTGCAGGATAGTGCAGGGTTTGGATCTTTTCTTCTTAGGGTTGCTATGAGTCATACACGATTTTGCAGCACCTAACAACAAACAACAACATTACCAAGTGTGTAGATTAGTCTACTGTTTGGATAGTTCTGAGATATAAGATTATTGATTCTTGGACATGGATTAGAGAGTTCTGATGGTCTAGTATGTAAGGGGTTGGACCGCAAACCCAAAGGCAGGCTCTTCGAATCCACCAGCTTCTCCA